GTAATGTTCCAATGAAGAAACAAACTCGTCAACATGTTGGATGGCCTGAGGGTGAGTGAATAGTCAGAAAAAGTTCATATTTGGGTGTTCCTTTAAACATGAAATTTTGAAGACTAAAATAGTATTTCCTTCTAAAAACCAATCTTAGTTTCATTTAGGCTACAGCTTTGTAAAATATTTTTTACATTGTGTATTGTCAGTACATTGCAGTACTGAACAACATAAGGGTCTAAATGGCAAGGATGGAGCAAGTTATGACATGAACACACCACATGGGTGCAGTTGCTCTTTGGGCTCCGTTTTATCCCCCAGGCTTTTAATTGTGAGCTTTCGGCTCTGATTTTAGAAAGCACAGCTTAAGTGAAAGACTGTAATATGCAATTTAGGCTTGTTAGAAAACCATTTCACAAGGATTAATTATCAAGGCCAATTATTTAGAATTGTATCATGTGAAAGGTTAGCTCTAGGTGACAGAAGAGAGGAAACAGACCTGAGGCAATGCAGACGGCGCGTGTGGCCATGCATTTTAATGCCATGTGAAAATGAACTCACCCGCAGAGCAAATTGCATTGACCTGGATCACGCGTGTTGACGGTGAAGAGGCAGAACTCCACGGGAGAGCCTTTAACCCTGTGCCTGGTCAACTGAGATGCCTGACAGTTTAAACTGAGGCTTTTAGGAGAACTAAACTGGCCTAAATACTGTATTTTTCATGTCTACCTTATGACTTTAGATAGGCTATTGTATATCCTGACAACCAAACAGTGATATAAACAGCAATGTGTACATGGCAGCACTGGAGTTCTTTTGTGTTTCACTTGATTAACAGTTTCATTCTTTCATTTCTAGCAACATTTAACTTCAAATTTAGATCAGTTTGCTCCCTATTATTACAAAGAATTAGTGGCTAAATAAACCAGTCTTTAATGGTGCATACAAAAGTATTGGTTTATTTGAGATTACAAAACATGATTGGTTTTGCTCTTGAACTCTTTAAAGTGTCAAAGCATTGATGATTTTGTAAAGAATAAGAAGTTTAGGAGCATTTTACTGGAAGTTTATAAAATGCACTGCAAACAGTTTTACATTCTCATTTATAACTAATAGCCACCATAATGTATTATAATGCATTGTTATCTATGCAAATATTTTAAATTGTATAATGCATTAAAGCATGTGAGCAAAACATAATTCGTTATAATGCATAATGTCTACTGCTTCAAGATTTTAGAATGTAGTATTGTAATTGATGTAGTATTATAATTATAGTATATTAATGGATTATAAATGCTGTTACTTTTATTTATGAAAAGACAAAAATGCACTTCAGTGTGGATTATGAATAATTAATTGTTATAATGCATTACAGGTCCACCGTTTAAAGGTGTGAGTAATATAAAATAACACCAAATATGAAGTTTGGGAGCCTTTTACTGGAAGTTTCTATAATGCATTTCAAGTGTTTCATAATACATTACAAAGAGTTTTATGTTCTCATATATGACTAACAGCCATATATGTATTATATGTATGTATTAATATGATATACTATATGCATGGTTGCTACTTTAAATAGAATAATGCATTATAGCATGTGAACAGAACATAATTTATTATAATGCATTATAGGTCTAATATATAAAGGTGTAAATATTATAAAGGATTAAAATATTATAATGTTTATTTATGCATATAAATAATTTGCATATGAATAATTATTATATATCTAAGGTCCAGGTTTTTCTAATGTTTACCTTTAGGCATCAGGCTGTAAAACCCTTTTCAGTTGATTTATTTTTTAGAGTGTAAATATTAAAAATGGTCAGATTCCCATAAACCATCTCTTTGATTGTGAACTTTGAGCTGCCTGTATTTGTGCAGACCTCAGCAGAGAGAGGAATACCAAGTACAGTAATTCAGGTCTCTCGAGTAATACAGCAGGCTAATTTAAACCATCAGGCGTCTTTATGTAATTAATCAGTACAGCAGAGCAGGCCTGCACTGCACAGCAGATTGAAGTTTTTGCAGGCCAGAGACAAGAAAAATCAAGCTCTGCTGGGGGGAAAAATGCCCTTGACATGCAGGGGGAAAGATCCCAGAGTTTCAGTGATGAATAAACAAATAAATAAATAAAACTACAAACAAGCGGGTCTCAATCGATACCTTGACCAGGGCAACTGGATGGCAGCCTTTCTTCTGAGCTCCATGGCCGTGGAGAAGTAAAACAAACAGTGTTTGTGTAAAGGTCTTCAAACCCCAGCCGGCTCAACCTGCCATTGATTATGGTGATGGAGCACTCAAAGGGATGTTTGGCCACCAGACAGAAGCAGTAGTGCACATCTAGTGTGTACAGATCATGTCTCATTATCAGCACATAACAAAGGAGAAGACATAGCCAGGGTCACTGAGCTTCAAATAAGCCTGTTGTATTCTCAGGACATTAACATTTAAAAAAAAATGTGTACATGAACCAGATCTCTTTTGAAATGAGGAACTTAAAAACTTATTTGAAATCCTTTTTCTATAATAGTTCATGGTAAGTAGGCCTAGTAAAAAATTAACACAAAGAGTATGTTGCCATATGGCTACACCATGCGGTAGAGGGTTAAAATATTTGGTTATCATCTGTGTAAATTAGTGACTACCTAACTACCAACAGTAGACTACATTTTCAGTAGTATAAAAGTAGTTACGCTCTTCATAATAGTTTTTCTAGTAACAGGTTTTTCCCCAACCACTAGCTTTGTAGCATTTTATCTTGATCGTAATATCTGATAAGAGTCAAAAGATTGGGTGCCAGTAGCTTACATCTTGGCAATATTGAATTGTAATGAATAAACTGAAAACATTTAAAACGTGACAACTTGCTGCTAACTGACAACAAAAAACAACAACAGTTCAAATATACTTTGATTATACGGTTGACTCTTGTCAGTGTGGTTTTATTGTGTTCGCAAATTAATTTCACTCCTTAATTATATTTATTATAATTATGTTTGTTTCAAAACAAACTTATAAAACCACTACTAAAACTATAAAACCCCTGCAGATCCTGAAATGTAGCCACTGTGACAACTAGCCTTCTCTAACATGGCTAGTGCAGCCATACTTACTAATACCCAAGAGAGTAATACTCTAAACAGTTTGAGATCCTGTATTAATTTATAGTGTTTTTGTGGCAGTAACATTACCTATGGTATTTAGGGAGGATCTGTGGTTACCATGGTAATTGTTGAAGGGTTGTTGTTGTGTTCAGGAGCAGGACGGCGTGCATACAGTCGTCACGCGCCTCTGCCTTTACTACTTACACGCCTCTCCTTCACTAATTTCAGCTGCATCTGGGTCCTTCACAACACACACGAAAACACACATATAAAAGCCATTAATGCTGACAAAATGACATGAATTGAAATGCAACATCGAAAAAATAAATTACTTGTGGGTAAAATGATATCCTAAGTTGTCGTTTGCGTTATGCACATTTTTGACAGCTCTATGTTCTCAGCATTTCGGGTCCTATAAATGCATGACGGGAAGCATGTGCACAGAACAGCCGACAAATATCACACTTGAGTCAATAGACATCACATTACTGCCATCCAGCGGTCTTCGGAAAAGGACTGTTAAACTCCTTTCAAGCTAGCGTCACAAAATAATATACATACGAAATTTGTTACTGTCGTAATTATAACGCCCCTTAGACGGCAATGAAGAACCAGAACCTGAAGATATTACAAAACTGTTCCATAACGGCATTATTCCACGTCCTCATCATGTCTAGAGATACTGGATAAAATAATCTCAAATGTAAAGATCGGAATTTGAATTTTAGTACAATACAATGTTAATATAAAGTCCTTTAAAATGTGACAAATTAATATTCAAAATAAAGAAACAGAAAAGTTTTGTTTATTCATCATGCACACAAAACATTCATTGTATTTGCATCTGATGTTCTGTCAGCAGCAAACATGTTTGCCCACTAATGGAATTTTAGAAAAAAAGTCTTTACAGGCAAAAACAAACACTAACAATCAATCAGTGCATGTCCATTTGGTGTGTCATATCTGAATTTTACTGTGACTGCAGGAATGATTCACATCCTTAAATCCTCGCATTATTCCTGGAACGCTTACACATTTAAATATTTACACTGAAATGGTTATGTTAAAAAATTCTGCAGTGATGAATCAGTGTCTGTTCAAGGACATTCACTATCCTACAAAGCCATGTGCTTGCCATTTACAAAAAAAGTAACTATTCAGTACTTCAGCAGAAAATACAGCTGTCAGTCATCTTGGATATGATGTCTGCTTGAGACATTTAGAAGTTCTGCCAGATTAGATGGTGAATGTCTTTAATTCATACCACAGGTTTTTTTTTTTATTCATGTCTAGGCAATTACAGGATACTAACCTAGTCAAATCAGTTCTTCATTTTTGGGCAATTGTATAACATTTCTATGTTCAAGTTTTGGTCGTCATGGCAGCTGAACTGATTCGATCTTTTTGAAACTTCACAAAGTGATATTTGTCTTGATATTTATCTATTGTCCTATCATCTAATTATTATTCTATCACTAGTGAGCAATGAAAGCTCACAGGGTGTCTTAATTTAGTGAGATGCTCCAAACACAGAAGGTGAGCAATTGTCAATAATTCAGAAGTATCCAAATATTATATAAATATCCAAGTATTTTATTTTAACGTTACCTCAGCAGGAGTGGAAAAAAAAAGTTAAGGACAATGGTAATTCTGAATGAAATTCATTGTTGTCTGTGCAGATCAGCTATCATACATTTTAACATCACAAAAACAATGAAAATACATAAAAACTTCCACAAGTAAGTTTCTTTAAGATCCTGTTGAGGACGTATTTAAATGCAAGACTGCACAGGTAACAAGGATTCAGTGTAAAAAAAACAGTTTAATATCAATATGAATCATAAGTTTATGGAGTGACTCAGAAAATTGGAAATATAACATTTTATTGAGTATTTACAATGCAGATACTTTTCCACTCCTGTTGTTAATGGACACTCCAGATATTTTATTACACAAGACATTAGACACTTTCACAGAAATGAAACACTTGCTAGATCTGTATTATAAAGTCATTCACTAAACCACAGCTGCTGGGCTTTAAAGACCTCAAGCCAAAACCATTTTGACTGTGCAAACATGTCTTCACCATCACTCATTTGACACCAAGAAGGGGAAAGACATGTTGCTCATCTGGGCTTACATAGTGTCCACAACTGTATAAACTATATCTGTGTCTCAGTGTTTGATTGCATGATTGACCGGCACACTGATGTGCTAGAGGCAGGTGCAGTTTACGTTGTCCTAACTGAAGAGAAGTGGTACATTTATGACGTCTGTCTGTCAGGGTTCACCATCTCTGCCTCTGGCTGTTTCTCTGGAATATTTGTCTCCATGTCTGTGTCTCTTTGCTGCTCTTCCAACATGTCAGTCAATTTCATGTTCAACAAAAGGTCCCGAGACTTTGGTGCCACCTGCTGGTTATAAAGAAACATTATGGACAAATACAAAATAAAATCATGTAGTCTAAATAATAATTTAGCTCTCAGACTCACTGCAGGTACTCCTCTTTTTCTTAAATAAATGCCCTCTGCAAGCAGCGCTTTTGCGGTCTCTTCAAACAGCAGCTCAGGTTTGACATCCCCTCTGCTTTCTAATTCACTGTACTTCATAACAAATCTGCACAAAGATACAGTAACATAACTAAATCAAAAGCCACATAGAAAATTCAATCTTAAAAAAAATTGGCAAAGTACTGTAAAAACGTGTAATTCTTCATCATAACTTACCTCTGACATGGTGATACAAAGTTGGACTTGAGGAGCTCAAAAGCTCTGGGTCCATTACCATACACCTCAAAGAACTTCCTACAACCACAGAAAAAAAGTCATGTAGATTTACTGCAAAGGTCCAGTGGGCATGCAAGTTTAACTGGAGGGTCAGTGACCCAAAAATGGGTCAGAGCTTTTACAGCACTAAAATCTAGTTAATGTAATTTTAAGTCACGTATAGACTATCATTCAAAGGTTTGGGGTCGGTAACACTGTTTTATGCTTTTTACAGAAGTCTTTTATGCTCACCAAGGCTGCATTATTTGATCAAAATACACTAAAAATAGTAATACTGTGAAATATTCATACAATTTTTTTTTTCAAAATGTACTATTTTAATAGATTTTCAAATGTAATTTATTCCTGTGATGTAAAGCTGAATTTTCAGCAGCCATTACTCGTCTTCAGCCTCACATGATCCTTCAGAAATCATTCTAACATGCTGATTTGATGCTCAAGAGACATTTATTTATAAATACTTTTAAACAGTTTTGCTGCTTATTTTTTTGTGAAAACCATGACACATTTTTTTTTAGGATTCTTTGATGAATCGAAAGTTCGAAATAACAGCATTTCTTTTTGTAAGTCTGTACGGTCACTTTTGATCAATTCAATGCATATCCTTGCAGAATAAAAGTATTAAAGGGGTCATATGATGCTTTTTTAAAGATCATTATTGTGAAGCACATGATGCTGTCACTAATGCTTACCGTGTAAACACAGTCCCGAATTTCTCAAGTCGACTTCCAGCCATAATCTGTCTATATGATAATTCAAATTTAAGTAGCTAAAAATAAATATCACAGAAAAGTCAGTGAGTTATACGCTCTCTGCTGCAGCATGGATGCACTACTTCCGGTGTTACTACGGATACCCATTAAAGACAAACTACAAGAATGCGAAAGAAAAAAAACGTGTTTTTGATAGCATAAAGTCTGTTTATTATAAATGCAATATTTACCATAAATATCCCATTACAGTTTTATACAACACTCATATGTAACACTGTGATATGTAATTATAAAAGAAAGTATTAAACAACAGAAACAGAGTTGAACGTATACTCATTGCTCGGCATGATGAACACATTGTCTGAGACTACACTGAAAATGTGGGATTCAAATCTAAATTAAGCATAGACATTAACAATACTGTTAAAGCTGAGAAAAAACAGTATGTTGCACAATTTGTAGGTCACTAATTAAATAAGCATATTTGTGACGTGTACAAGTAAACTTTGTATAAAAAGTCGGGTTTTTGAAGCCCTCAGATAGAGGTGATCCCTTGAATAAAATAATTATTTATTTCAAATAAAATAATGGCGTTTTTTAAGAATTAAAAATAATCTGATTTTGGAGTTTGACAATGAACACATTGCAACCATGCTTGGGACGGCCCACATAAACGAGTCAAAATGCTTTACATGTCTTGAAATAATAATTTCTTAACATTAAACATTGACTGTCAGTATTTATTCACCTGTTTCTCGTCGTTTATCATTAAAATGTATTAAAGTAAATCGTGTAAATTACATCACTAATGTCATAGAATAGCATGGCAGGGCACATTGTAACGCAGTGTTACAACATCTGCAACTGGAATTTAAAACTGGTTACTGTCTTCTGATAGTTAGCGAAGCATTAAAAAATAATTTAAACTGATAAATAACAGATTGGAGATGAAAATAATAGCAGATTTGTCTAATTTTAAATGAGTAATAAAAACTGAGATAAAAACTGACTTAAGCCAGAAATATAATTTTACTATGGTAAAATAAACGTCCAGCGATATCTTCAAAAGACTTGAATTTTGGCGCACTTTTTTTCTCTATATAATGTTGATATAGTAACTAGTAAATGCTGTAAATTTGGTTATGCTAGCATGTGTGGAAATACATGTTAAAAGATTAAAATCTCCCATTTTTGGTGTGTTTGAATATTGAAAAGACTGAGATGGTCCAGCTGATCTCAAGCACTAGGATCCAAAGATGTCCTCATGGTACCGCTTTTCATTCTGTGAACAAAAAGCATAATCATGTAAAATTATTGACCATATATCCTTACAGACTGTAAACAATTCACCATTTCAGGACAACCGAGCCCTCGCAGGAGCATAAATGCTTTAAGACATTATTATCTGAAGCAGCTATAAAATGTGTTAACAATTAGAAGGTTCACCTTGAGCCTTGAAAGATATTCCTCAGCCTGAGTAAGAGTGATGCCCTGCCGGCTGACTAGGATTTCCTTGATAGTGGCAGCCACATCATGGGCCATGTTCATGCCTCCACAGATATACAGATGTCCTGGATTAAGGTGCAGAACCTCAAAGACCTTGTCACTCAATTGTTCTCGCAAGATATCTTGGACATAAACCTGTACCAAGAATGCAAAAAAAAAAAAAAGAGAGAGAGAGAGCAAGAATAGTGAAAACAGTGTTAACAGCTGTTTAGAATTATTTTTTAGATACACTATCAATATTACTAGATATATAAAGATATACAGAGATTTCTAGATATAGATGCAGCTGTATGATATCAAGTGTGTTTACCTTGGGTTGTCCAGTCTGCCTAGAGTAAGCGGTTGTGATACTGCTTAGGGTACCATTATCTCTCATGTCCAGAGTCTCTTCTTTGTAAAGATGATCAGTATCTGAACCTCGACACCCGAACACGAGTGTCATTGGATTCCCTTTCAGACCTTGAAGAAATAACACAACTTGAGGTTCAGCAACTTGAGGCAAGCCGATTTCAGATGCACTGTTGAAACCACTTGAATGTGATAAGGGATGAAATTCAATACCTGTTTTTTTCATGTCATGGAATTGCTGTTGCCAAAAGCTACGGAATGGAGCAATGCCGCTCCCAACTCCCACAAGAATACAGGGAGCACTAGGGTCGGATGGAAGGTGGAAACCATCAGAGCTGGAATTGTTGCATAAATGGAACAAGTTAGTGAGTTATAATCAGAAAAAAAAGATCCTATACATCTTGGGAATGTGAAATGAAGGGTACCTATGGACAAAACATGGCACCATGTCTCCTTCTTTGATGGTATTGAGCCAGGTACTACAAAGACCAAAATGCAGCGGACCTTTTCCCTCTAAAGAGAGCAGAACATATGATAACAACAGATTAAACTCTTCAGTGATTCTACGTCTAGAAAGTTCATCTGTTCAGGTATCAACTAATTGATCACTGGGAATATGTTTCCAGTACCCTGTGTGTGATAGCTGACCACGGCCACAGTGAGGTGGAGCTCCTCAGGGTGGAGGTCTGGGGAGGAGCTGATGGAGTAGAGACGTGGCTTCACTAGAGGCAGCTGGCTGAGGAGAAAGGCAGCAGAAATGTCCAGAGAGGGAAACTCATCTAGCACCTCAAGGAAAGTAGGTTTGTGGAACTCCTTCCATGTTGCGTAGACTTGGAAATCCTGTTGTAGAGGGATGTCTTGGTATGTATTTAACCAATAAACAATGTGAAAACAACCCATGATAATTCCACAGAATGTTCCTTTTTTCATGAAAAATAAGCAGAATGAAGTGTTCATAAACCATTATGTAAATTGCCACTTTCAATATAATGGGACATTTTCTGAAAGAATAGACTTATGAAAGACTTATACAGGTGTTTGGCTTGTTTCATTAATATATGCAATAAAATTCATAGTTAAATACCCCTTAACACACGTACTGAATATAAAGCATTTTATTATCAATAGCACTTTTAGCACACTCACTGCTTTGGATTTTAAAATGAATTATTAATTTACACAAATACAGTTATATAGTATTGCCTTACAAAATTGCAAAATCAAATTGGTTCCATTTAAAACAAATACTGGAACCGAATGACGTTTGGTTCTGTTACTGGTTCTCACACGTGCATTCGGGATGCTAAAAACTCTGACAGGGTTTCCAGCACTAATTAACTGTGCCACAACACCTCTACAGAATCTACAGCACGAAACAGACAGTCTGTTCTTTCAAGCGACTCAAAAACACTCATAGCAATCAGTGTGGACCTATTCCCGAAATTATGATTTAAATGAGTCGAAACTTTTTAGTGAATAAAACACAAAGTGTGACCAGTGTAGTCTAGCACTATAACAACTGATTCTTAGGAACGTTTTTTAGTGAATCAAAAACGTACAGCACAACCAGTATAGTCCAATCCTAAAAAAAAAAAAGACCCTTATAAACCGGGTCTTTAAAATAAATCAAACACATACACCGAGCAGTGTAGTCTGATTTCCAGATGATTGAATCTAATGAAGCAGTTCTTTTTAGTGAACGCAGCCAGTCTAGTCCAGTTTCCAAAATAATGATTTGAGTTGAGTTGGTTCTTTTTAATGAATCAGAATCTTTCTGATTTTTAGTGAATCAAACACACACAGTGACCAGTGTAGTCAGAATCCTGAATGAATGACTCTAATAAGTTGGTTCTGTGAATGTGAGAAGTTATTAAAAAGCCTGTGCAAACACACCTTTTACAAGAATTTTAAAAAAATGTATTTAGTATTAAAATTACCTAACAAAATCGTTAAGGAACCAAACTTTTTTGCAATTCTCATCCATAGTTCTGGAACATTTTTGATTATAAAAAGTGACTTACTGTTGCTAATGCAAGCAGGCGCTGTCTGTGATCTTCAAGCTTTGCCATCTTTGAGAGTTTGCGGAGGAGGCTTTGTGTGGGTGGGGTGGTGACATCCAGATAGTAGGTAAGAGCTTGGGCAAGAGGACATGGTGGTATTCGTTCAACTCTCTGCCACCTTTCACCATCTGCAGGACAGCATTATTAGGTATCATTATGTTATTATGTGTAAGACTTCCATTATGTAATTAGGTAAGATGGTTCAGTACCAGGGTAGGCACTAAGGAATTCCAAGCTTAGGCTCTGATTTATAGGAGGGGCATTGGCCAGATGCTTCAGGATGTCAGCTACTAATTCAGATGAGTTTCCTGGGAAAATCCCTACATGGTCTCCAGGGACAAAGTTTAAGCGCTCTGTGTTCCCATCCATCTCTAACTCCACCAATATTGTAGCACGACTGAGAACACATAAAAAATTCAATAAATACTGTATTCTGAGAAAACAAGCAAAACACAACATAACAAGACATCTGTTTCTGACAATAATAATTATTATTACTATTTTTATCAATAAAAAACAGATGCATGAATATGAGTTGGTTTGAGAACCTTGACTTTGGGCTCTGTAGATTCTGCTTTCTCTTTAGTTTCATGGGAACCACAACTTTAGAATGGAGAGCTGACAGAGCTGTAAAGTCAAGCCAGATAATAATAATCACTACAGAAATCTGTTAATGACATGATTCTTGAATTCTCATTTCTGATTGTGAAATACTTATTATAGTGATTGCTCAACTACATATTTCACTCTAAAATTTCAAAATGTCATTAAGCATTTCCATATTCCTATGTAATTAATATTGAACTGTATTATATTTTGTTGAGTAAAATGTTTTTAAAATGAGAAACAGCAAGAATATTATCAATAAAGCATTTTTGCTTCCCTTTTTGACCACTTCTACAGGTTTCATCAAGTTTTGACCATAATTTTTCCCTAAATTATGTGTTTTTATAAGGATGCGGGTCTAAATGTACCTGTGATTCGGTCAACTGTACAACTGTCATTCTGAACTCTGTGCCTCTGTGGATCCCAGGAATCTGCCAGACCTTCTTTTCCTGGAAGCTGACCTTGAATATTAAACTCCTTGCATGCATCCTATATAGAGAGAAAACACTTTCATAATTAATTTTATCGTTCACCAATTTAATGCACTGAAAACAATGGATGCTCAATGTTTATTTTATTACTGAGACCTTAAAGGCAGTGCAAGCCCAGGC